GTTGAGAAAAGAGGTGAAGATCTTTGCTAAGAATAAACAGTAGGCTTTTGTTAAAGCCCAGCACCTCAGAATTGGCTTTTAACAAAACTGCTTCAGTGAGGAAGAATCCTCGTTCATACTCTTAAACATGGCCAACCACATAGAGGATTGGTTTTTGTTTGTTTGTTTGTCTTTTGGTGTGGAAACAATCATTTTACTACAAGAATATTTAATAAAAACAAAAACCTTGGTACAATTAGGCATCTTTTTTTTGTTTGTTTGCCAATTCTTCATTCCTTTTTTTTTTTTAAAGAAATGTGTATTCAGATATTTTGCCAACATTCAAAAGGGCTGGTGAAATGGATATAGTATAAAATTTACATTTCCAACCTTTTTAGTTATAAAATTTAACATATTAACCATTAGCAGTATCCATCTCCAGAACCTTCCATCTTCCTGAAGTTCTGTCTTCTTTAAGCAATAATTTCCAACGAACTTTCTTACAAAGCACTTAATTCCTTCTCCTTTCATTTTCGTTTTTTCTCTCTCCCCCTCTTCACCCCCTTTCATCCTTTAACATTTTGGCTTCAAATAACATCCTTTGTTCTTTTCCATCGTGCACCTGAATCATCAGTAAAAATCCCCTTCCTGTTTTTTAATTTAGCTCTGTGATTTTACTTACAACTAAATTAAGATTCCAGTTTCTCTCTTCACAGTCCTTTCCCTCACATTGCCCAAAGGATTCTGGAGATGTGCATGTGCCTGGGTTCTGGGGGTGGATTGGAGGACTAGTGGAGAAAAACAGTGTCTCTGTTTTTAGATGGTTGCTTAAAAAAACCGAAGCCCTGAATGTGGGCACTCATTCTTGGTAGCCTCCTCTGCCAGGAGTTACCTGTCCATTTTCCAGCCCGGGGAGGGTGCAGCTATGCTTTCTCCCTCTGTGTTACGGTTCCTGTATCCTGAACTCAAACTGGAATCCCCTTGCGATTTCACCAGCCAGCAATATTTTTAGGCTGTTTATGGTATTCAAGCTGGACTTTGAAAAGTTTTTGCTTCTAAGAGAATTTTCTTCTTTAATAGGTGATTTTTTTTGTTTGTTTAGAATTTGTAGCAAGTGAAAATTTTCGCATATTTCATATTTATTTTGTAATTCATATTTCATAGATTTAGTAATTCTAGCCTCCCTGCTGCCTGCAATCCCAGCCCACCCTCCTCCTTATTCATTTTTCTCCTATGCTTTACGATGATATATTTTCATTTTATTTTGCCATCATGGGCTTAACACTCCATTAGGTTAAGATATCAACATATACCAAGTGGAAAAAAAAAACTACTATTCATCAGGAGTGTAAACAAACATTGTAGTATAAAAAATAAACAAATGGAGCCTGGTGGCTAAAGTCCTTGCCTTGACTGTGCCGCGGTCCTTTATGGGCTCCAGTTCTAATCCCGGCAGCTCCACTTCCCATCCAGCTCCCTGCCTGTGGCCTGGGGAAGCAGTCGAGGACAGCCCAAAGCCTTGGGACCCTGCACCTGCATATACACACTCACACACACACATATATCTTTTTATCCATTCATCAATTGATAGGCATCTGGGTTGATTTCATATCTTAGCTATTACGAATTGAACTGCTATAAACATGGTGGTACAAATAATTCTCTCATATGCTAATTCCATTTTGGAAAAATTCCAGGAGTGGGATGATTGGGCCATGTGATCTATTTTCAGATACCTGAGGAATTTTCACGATGTCTTCCTCAATGGCTGCTCTAGTTTACTTTCCTATCAGCAGCGGCTAAGGGTACCTATCCGGGCATCCTCACCAGCATTTATTACCAACAGCTAAACTCAGTGATCAAGGGGAATTAGGTAAAGAGGTTCATCCCAGTCCTACGGTGTCTAGAAGCTCCCATCTAGTCAAAAATAGTCACCTGCTTTTGCTCAGACATTTCCTTTAGCTTTAATCTTACCCAATTATGCTCTAAGATTTGCTCTAAACTGGAAGACAGAAAAGATAATTCACAGTTATGTGGAATCTTTAAATGAAATAATATATATAAAGTATATGTGTAGTGGTGTTTTAATTTTTTCTGGTACTGTTCTCTTAGCTGTTATTTTGGGAGCTATATTCTTCAATAAAATTTTATCTTCCCTGGTATTTAAATAGGCCTTTGGCCAACGTTATTGTGGAAGCAGCTGTGTGACATAACCGTGTTGATGCCAACTGGAATGCCCACATCTCTCACCAGGGTGCCTGGGTTTGAACCCCTACTTGGTACCCGAATGCAGCTTCCTGCTAAGCTGCACCCGAGGAGGCTGCAGTGCTGGCGCCAGTGCTCAGGTCCTTGCTGTCCACGCAGGAGACCTGGACCATGTTCCAGCCCCTGGCTCTGGCCTCACCCGGCCCTGGCTGGTACAGACCTTTGGGGATAAACTAGCAGACCGGAGATCTCTCCTTATCTTACAGTCTGTCCTCAACTCTGTCTGCCTATCCCTATCTCTGCCTTAAAAATGAAACATGAAAAATATTTTTACATGCTATTCTGTATAGAACCTATATGATACTCTTTATGTGTTGTTAATAAAATTGATTTTGAATGAAATTAAAAATTGTCGAGGGTACTTCCCTTTCTGAGTTTATCTGCATGTCCTGACCTACCACTGACAAATAAATACAGGCTAGAGTTTTGTTATTTTTCATTGAAGTCTTGAGTATAAATTTCTACCAATCACTTTTTAAACTAAAATCTTAATTCTTACAAATGTGCCAATAGTCATCAGTTCCTGATAATCGGGTCCACTGGAGTAGAAAGTCCCTGAGATGGGCCCTCCCAAACTTTAAAGTTAGATCTAATTCAAAGCCAGCTTCCAGGCTGAGTAGGAGCGCTACCGGGCTAAGTTATTCAAAGTCTTTTATACTTGGTATTCTTCATCTTTATAACGGTAATTAAAAATTGTCGCTAGCCCATAGGGTGTTGTGAGGATTAATGCAGGAGCATTTAAAGAGTGCTACTGGTAGTAAATGTACAACAAGTACAATCTTCATTTTATGGTAACGTGCAAACTTTTTTTAAGTTTCCTAGACTGAATCAAAAATGTGAATATTTTGACAAGCTATCGTATTTCTTAATGCATCTTTGATAACCGCTCATAGTAAATGGTTATTTTGGGGTACCTAGTCTTCGTTAAGAAACATGTCTTTCAATTTTCAAGCCTTCAATCAGCAGAAAAGAGAATTTGCCAGCCTATGTTTAATAACAAAGCTGTATCCAACCAACACCTCTCTCCAAGGCAGAACTCAATGGCATTTTTCCTTCACTCTTTACATATTCCCTCTATTTCCTGTGTCAGCCCCTTTCATTTTTCTCTCTTTTTTTTTTAGGATTTATTTATTTTAATTGATAAATCAGATATTTAGAGAGGAGGAGAGACAGAGAGGAAGATCTTCCATCCACTGATTTACTCCCCAAGCAGTTGCAACAGCCAGAGCTGAGCCAATATGAAGTCAGGAGTCTGGAGCTTCTTCTGGGTCTCCCACGCGGGTGCAGGATCCCAAGGCTTTGGCCGTCCTCGACTGCTTTCCTAGGCCACAAGCAGGGAGCTGGATGGGAAGCGGGCTACCAGGATTAGAACTGGTGCCCATATAGGATCCTGGTGCATTCAAGGTAAGGACTTTAGCTGCTAGACTACCATGCTGGGCCCAACCCCTTTCATTTTTCAAGGTCATCCAAAATGTTGTAGGGGTCCAAGTAGGGCAAAGAAGAGAATATGAACACAAGGAATCAATTCAAGCTGTTCTTTCTTTCCTGACTCCTTGTGACAACAGTGGTCCCCTGGTCCTTTCTCATATTTCAATGTCACCGTGGCAGATGCTGAAAGAATAATTCCTAGAAAAGTTGTGACATTATTACCAGAACAAATGTTTAGAGAAAAAGAAGGAATCAAGTTCAACTTCTCTGATACCTTTTTGATCCTGCAAAGAGCTTTCTCCAGTGTGGTTTTGAGGAAGGGGACAGGGCCTAGGAGTGGTGTCGGCAGGGCTCGACTTTTCATCCCTCCTCCTGTCACTTGGCCAAGTCACTGAACAGAAGATCAGGAGCTGGAGGGAAGCCCCAGGCCTGGTTTGGCCCCTTATTGGTATCATCCCAGGCAAGCACCTCCACTTCTCAGAAGTGCAGTTTCCTGCCTGCATAGCAGGCATGAGGATAATTCACAGGAAAGACCTAGCATAGCATGCAACATGTGTGCTTGACAGACAGTTGGCTGTGCTGTGTAGAAGTCATGTTTCTCTGAGGCCCCTTCTGGTATCATCTCAAGCACTTTCTCAGGAAGCTATGTGGTGAACAGGCCAAAATCTGTCTTCAGACAGGACACAGACAACTGGCTTTTAGGCCTGCTAATCTGGGCTCCTACAACAATTTATCACGAAATTTTCATTACAGTGTTTCTTAGCAGTTACTCTAGAGGCACAGCATGATGGTGTCAAATTTGTCCTCAACGATTTCATCTACCTTTCATATGTGTGATTTAGCTGATGCTGACGTTAGGTCAGAGCTACAAAAGCTGCTGCCCAGGGGGACATGGGTGATGTCTGATAACAATCAGCTTAATGCTGATGCAGCCATCTTACTTCTGGTGATCCCAGAAATACCTTGTGAGGAGTGAAGTATGTATTTGGTTAGAAATGAGAACCTTGCAAAAGGAACATTCTGAGAATGAGTGGGAAAACAAGAGCCGGGATAGGCCAAATGCATGTCCACCGGAAAAGGAGCTCTTCATTAATGATGTCATGAAATCAGGGTTAAACCCAAGAAAACCAGGTTTGGGAGGAGGCAGATGGATAATGAAGAGCCCCGGACATTCTTCCTGACCCCTTCTGATCCTGCCATTCAAAGCCCCATGACTTGTCCACTGTGTCTGCCCCTTCAAGCTCTCTTGTGTCTGACATTCCTAGCCAGTGGCTGAAAGTAAACTCACTGAGCTTGGACAACACCCTCTGTCCCCTTTTTTAGATTTGACACAATCCTAGCTCCTCTATCATGGAATAAAGTCTGGGATCAATCTTGAAATTCCTTTCTAAACCACACATGTTATCAGGGAAAAATAGGATGAGAGGGGAAAACATTGGCTTGAAGGTCAGGCAGGCATGGGGTCAGGCTACACTACAAATTAGTCGTGAGAGATCCTGTGCTCTAATTTAGTCACATGCAAAACAAAATTTTAGCTCACTGATGAATTTAAATGTGATAGCACACATGAAGTAGACTGTTGGTATCTTTATGGTTGTAAATTCCCTTTATCACACCCTCATCTCCACCCCTAATTGCAAGCTTGTCATGGTGTCAGGAGCAATTTTACCCATCCTTTATTGGCCTAATTCCTACATATCCTCAGCCCCTTTGGGGATGGGTTCCTGCCACACGGTCTGTTTCCCAGGCAGCAATGCTTGGGTACTGGAGAATTCTGTTGCATAACATGCTCAGATTGTTTCACAGCTTTTTCACTGCACAGTGAGGCAATACCCTTAACATCTCTCCAGCAGACTCAGATCTGACCTTGGAGGTCCCTGTCTCCAGCAATGCCACCCAGAGGGAACGGTAGGCTGGAAATAGCTAGGAGGCCAGACCAACTGCGAGTTTGCCTTTGACACACCGTGGCATTATGTTTTGGTAGGTAAGCCACACTCAAGTTTGTGTCTCCTTCCTATACACCCACACAGAAGGGCTGACTAGCTCCCTGAAGGCAGAGAGGTGGAAATGTCAGAAGGTTGGAGCCATGGCAGAACTTGCACATAAAAGCCTATGGGTAAAAATTTTATTTGGTTCACAGCAATTCTGATCAAGAATGAGATTCAGGCTGGAAAGTCGATCTGGGTTCCTGCACTGCAGTATCTCTTGCTCCTTCTGCATCTAAAGCTGGAAATACATACACGCATAGGATGAACTACATATTCATTCTGCTCAAAGGAGAAGACCTAAAATTAGAGAAGTGGAGCATGATTTTACTACTATCGACTAAAGCCAAAATACTACCGAGAATGTGACTTTCCAAAAAAAGACCACTCCTCAAATTCCATCAAAATGCAAAAGAGAATGGGATTTGAAGTCTATTAAACAGGGTGAGCCGCCAGACAGGGAGGACTTCATGAGCTGCAAAAAACTGGAGCTGACCTGCTGTCAGTAGGTGCTGTATACGATGGAATTCTACCCAAGTTCCTCACCATGAAGTGGAAATTATTCATGAAAAACGAAAATATACTACATTACAGCACTTACAGCCTTTCCTTGGGGAGTCTGCAGGTGCATTGATTAATTAAAACCCTTGGTGATCCTGCAAAGCAGCTCTTCTGAGGCAACGAAATAATACACATTGTCTTCTTAGTTTCTAATTTCTTGAAGAGAAAAATCTTTCTCCTTATTGGTCTCCTGGCCCCATGTTCACCTCCAAGAGGCAAAGCTACTCCCCACCTTTATTATTGCTATTACGATATTTTAAACCATACTAGCAAGTCTGGGCTCCAATGCACTAGCCACATGGTACAATGTGGCTACAGCTATAGCTACAGCTTTCACTAGTAGCATTAGCTAAATGCAAATCCTGCAATTTTTTATAGTTTTGTTTTTTATGCAAAGAAATGCAGCAGGCCAGAACAAATGTCTTTCCTTTTCTCTCTCCTCTTTCTCTCATTCTTTTCTCTCTCTCTTTCTACACACACACACACACACACACACACACACACACACATTTGGTCTTTTCCTACCCCCCAAAATATCTGTTAAGATGATTGCCTTGTTTGAAGCAACCGGGTTCATCACCACAACTGAACTCCAGAGCTAGACAAAGCGTTCATGGTGCCTCAGCCTTGACAGTATGACGTGAGTCAGGTGGACAGGTGCCTGTGGCACTCATTCAATACAAGGGCTAGACGGTGACAATGGCTGTGCTTGCTCTGGTGAAGAACAACAGTCTTGGGGCCCAGCTGCTTTCTGTAATCTGTTCCCAGGAACAAGAAGCTACGAGAAGGGAGAGCTTCACAGTTGCCTCGTGAGACACAGAGGCCAGCCACTTTGCTATGTATTGCAGGAGAGAAATCTGACAAGAGCCTATTCCGCCCACACCGGGGCTTCACAGAAACCAAGATTTTTCTTATGAAACAATCACAGGCCTCAAAATGGGTCAAGTGGTGAATAGTGAGGAATGGTTAATGCCTCCTACATTTGTCTGAATATAGTCCTAACAGATGGCATTGAATAATAGATGTTTTATAAAACTTTGAAATGAGAGAGAGAGAGATGAAGTAAAATATCACCTTAATCTTCCCAGCTTTCATGGTTGGTATAGGTTAACTTGCACATCCAAAAACCTATATGCAAATAGCTTTGAAGTTGACTCACATTTGTGGAGTGGAATGATTTTAAGTTTTTCTTTTTGCTCCTTAATGATTTGTAGCATGTCATATGAAGCATAGTATTTAAATCTGGTTATATATTATTTCATTTTTCAGGTAAGATGTTTGAAATTGACTATCATATATAGTAAACAAATACAAGGCATGTCTGCAAAATGGGATTTTCTGACCTTCCAAATATTTAATAAGTCAAGTACTATGTGCATATCATACATCAACTAAGTTTCAACCAATTCTCCCTATGACCAACTCTGTGTTGAATGGATTTAATCTTTGGTGGATGGTTCAGAAGATGTGAAAAGATGTTGAGGTTGAAATTTTACACATTAACTTTGAGAGAAGTGATTCAGTTTTGGTCAGCATGCTCTCAGAAACATGACCTATTTTTGGGCCCAGCACGGTGGCGCAAGTGGTTAAAGGTCCTCGCCTTGCACGCCCGGGATCCCATATGGGCGCCGGTTCTAATCCCGGCAGCCCCGCTTCCCTTCCAGCTCCCTGCCTGTGGCCTGGGAAAGCAGTTGAGGACGGCCCAAAGCTTTGGGAACCTGCACCTGTGTGGGAGACCCGGAAGAGGCTCCTGGCTTCGGATCGGCATAGTATCGGCCCGTTGCGGCTCACTTGGGGAGTGAATCATCGGATGGAAGATCTTCCTCTCTGTCTCTCCTCTCTGTATATCCGCCTTTCCAATGAAAAAATAATAAAAATAAATCTTTAAAAAAAAAAAAAAGAAACATGACCTATTTTCATCAGCATTTAGGCATGCACTGTTGGGGTGCTGCATGAAAGAGTCCTGATCTCAGTCACACTCCAGGGAGAACTCGATGTGTGATAGCCTCCAGGGTCCACGGAGCTCTGATGAAGAGACAGAGTCACAATGCTGCACTGCGGATCTGCAGGAACTCTTTCATACATAGGCTCTGCTTTGCAGGGTTGAGGAGGGGCTTCGTTAGCCTCAGGATTTCGGGTAGGAAGTGAAATCTGCACATTAGGGTGAACACAGTGGAGGCATCTGACCAGTGAATGTACCAACTGTTGGCCTAGAAGGGAAGGGACTAAATGCTGATTCACTTAAGGCCACCACATCTCTCTGTCACGTGAACTTGACTTAGGTTTTGCCATTGTATGGCATTGTTTTTATGTTTCTCTTTATGTAAAAGGAACACTCCCTATGTAGTAACGCTCAAGAGCAAGAGAAAGTATGCCATTTGCCAATAGCCCTGTCCTGGTGGCCTCTGCAAACTCGCCTGCTCAAATCCACCTGCTCACTCTTCAGAGTCTTGACTTGCTCATTAGCCTGACTAAAAAGCCTTCGGAGCCTAACAAAGACTGAGCCTTGAAATTGGCATTTAATTGGCATATAGTTATGATGCCTTCAGTGATGTGTATACAAAGTCACTGTAGAATGTAAGACAGGAAAAGTACTTTCAGCTGGGTGGGTGTGAGTGCGCTGAGGGCTGTGGGAGAAGATTAGAGTTGGACCTTTAAGAAAGTCGTTAAGTAAACTAAGTTGAAGTTAACTTTTGGTTTCTAGACATGTCTTGGCTGCTACATAACTAACATGAAGTTATGTTGAAATTCAGTTCATTTTCTTGGTTAGGATTCACTTTTAGTCTGAGCTACATTTTTAACATTACTTCACATCCTCCTATCACAGTAGAGCTTGTTGTCACAGGGTCTCAATGGACAACACTCAATGCATAGCTTTTATTTGTGAAAGAAGTACATCTTGTGTATTTGCAGTTAGGAAGAAAGGCATCTGCAGGCTGAGGGCCTGGATTTAAATGCCATCTGGGTCACATGTTAATTGTATGATGTTAACCGAGGTAGTTTACCTCATCTGTATGTATCTTCTTTCATAGAATCGAATAGCTGATGTGATATATATATATAGCATGTGGTAAAGACCAGTTAGAATCATACCTTTTATGCAATAAATGGTTTGCAATATTAGGTTTAATCTGTTTACTAAAGTCCAAATACATAAACTGAAATGAGAGTTATTGCTTGATCTATTTATTTATTTTTATCTATATATCTATTTACAACCCCAAATAGAACCAAACAGCCAAAAAAGCTATAAAAAGATCTTATATTTTATGCTTCTGAAATGTATCAGATTCTGTTCTTACTTAATTTCAAAGGTCATGTCCAAATAGAGTCCCTGAGAATGGAATCGGTAGATGCGTTGCTTGTCCTCTGCTCAAGAAGAAACTGTCAGGGTGTATTTGAGTCTATTCCCTTTTTTCTGTGAATGATTTATGTCTAATGCAATGCCTATTCGTTTGAAATACTTGAACTGTTTAACTTACAAGTAGCCCCAGTAAAATCCTGTCAAGACTCTGGCATTTTGTATTAAGACAATGGAGATGAGAAGGCGGGGTGCTTCGTCAGCCTCACCCTCCATTTTGTTTCCATTGACCTTTATAATCTCACATTTTAGGCCTAGCTTCAGGGTCACAGACCTACTGGTTCAGTCAAATGCAGAGACCATCTGCTTCTGTTAGTTCTGTTCTTTCATGAATGAATGGGAAAACTGAGGTTCATCATGTTTGAGTGGCTTACATAATTCACATGGATGTGATTCAATTGGAGTGTGAGGGATGAAATCTTAACAAGATGACAACTTGTGAGTTCACAGGCATTGCCAATCTCTATGTTCTCTGCTCCCTGCTAGAAGAATCTCCAACATCTCCTGCAGACATTTTCTCCTTGAAACTTGTTGAAAATACATCAGTGAGGCCATTTCCATAAATTTGTATTTATTGTAATTTGCTTTTCTGTAGGTTTTGTATGCATGCAAGTTGACTGCCATCAAAAGCTACTAAAACATTTCTCTGAATTATTTTCTTGTAGTGCAGACCTACAGTGGCTATTATATTTGATAAGCTACAAAATGCAGACTCTAGAATTCTAGAAGCTTCTGAGAGGCACTCCTTTCATCACATCTTTTTGGATTAATTGAGGTTTCGGCTTGTTATTTTCTTTACGACTGTTTTAAAATAATGTATGGAACCTTCTGCATATTCCATCCTGCCTCCCATCTACATACACAGCTACGCGGATGAATGCAGATGCTTGCTACATTGAGAGAATCGTCCAGTGTTTACACTTTACACACACTTTATCCCTAAAACATCCCCTGATCTTGTTATCCTTTCCTTCCTCAGCAATCATCTCTAAGTGTCAGAAACACTGAATCAGCCTTAAGGTACAACGAAAACTTTGGTCTGTTATACCTCCAACTTATTTCCATCTGATGGGACTTTGCAGCACAGACTGGGTCAAGCATCACAAGCACCTTCCAGGAACTGACTAAAAAGATTCAGACATTCACCTTCCCCATTAATATGATCAAGTGAGAAAAGGTGCTTGGAACCAAATGGAAGATTGTGAACAGTCTCATCCTTCTCTCATCTCATCATTAAAAACAAAAACAAAAAAACAAAATCCCAAACAAACAAAAGCACTTTCTCAACTAGACAACTTACTTACTTACTGTGCTGTGTTATGTTGGTTTGGAAACGGGACTGGCTTTGCCTAGAGGATAGGTTGGCATTTCAGAGCAAAGGAAGAAAGAACTAGAGCGTCATCAATACCCGTCATGGCTGCCTCTGCACTGCTTTCTTTCTCCTTTTCTCACTCTCTTCTGCTTCATCACAATGCAGAGGGCACAGTGGCAACTACTCAGGATTTAATTTCCATTCATGCCTGCTAGTACACCCACATACCTCTCTGTTGAATCACAAAACCTATAGCACTGGAATTGCTTTGTGTTCACTTGAATTAGGAAAGAAGTATTGAATGAACACCTCCCCACCCTGCCACCCCTGTAGGACACAGCTCCAAATGGGCTGTTTATGCTCTTACATGACTCTCCCAATGCCCAACTTACCATTTCTCCTTTAAGCTCGGCCTTTCTCTCTAGTCTATATCTATATGCCCTTTTGTCTTTCATCGGAACAGTTGGTATTATTTTAAAAAGAAAAAAAAAAGAAAACAAACACAAAACTAAGCACAAAACCAAAATTGTTCTTCTATGAAGGGAAGGCATGCACAATTAAGTGGTTTTCTAGGTGAGGTGAGAGTTTATGCCCACTCATCTCACACTGGTCTCCTTAGGACTAGGAGCACACGCCGGTACATTGGCTGGCTAGCGTCAGGGTTGCAGTCAGCTGGTGACCACAGAGCAGGAAGTAATCAACTGGCTCTCACATCCATGAACTATTACATCCATGGTCTTCCTGGCACATGCATTAAGCCAACAGATTCAGTCATATCCAGCCTTTGTGAACCCAGTGGAACACACTCTTTCTCTAGTATGCTTTGGTCTCTAAATTCCACTATCTCAACAGACCATAAAGTGATAACCAAGTGACTTTGGCTACCACTGTGACTCAGATGAAATATTAAGACTTACTCAGACCCCAGATTGTACACTTAGCCAAAACAGTGAAACTTAGAGGAGAGTGTTTTCCTTTACAAGAAATAATGGGGTCTGAATAAACTGAGACAAAGAAGAGCCAGTTTTGAAGCACCTGCAGGTGCATGTCTATAATTTTTACATGGTGATTCACAAACCACTGGATAGGTAATGCTGTACTAAAAGGAATGTAAGCCTGTCAGGTTAATTACACAATATTAGGTACGAAAACAAACAGTGCAACACAAAACATAGCTACATCATTATTTGCAGTAAATGTTAACTCTAAATAAGTGCAACCTGTCCATAAATGCTTGCTATATAAACTATAATTAAAAAAATAAAATTTGATGGATAAACATGAAAAAAAAATTCTCACCGAGAATTTTTTTTCAAATATCAGCACTCATTTAGAGTTTGGGATTTGTGAAAGAAAGCTTTAAAAGGAGCAAACCTGATTGGCTGTGGCTGTTGCTGCGAAGGGGACACTTGTTGCAGGAGTTGTTGCTGCAGAGACAGTGGCGGACGTAGCGCTGTGCATCATGGGTACTTTCAGGAGGGGAACCATGGGAGCAATGAACAGGAGGGTGTAGCATTATGGTAATAGAAGTGGTATTTTGGCATGGTGAATATCAGAGCAGCAAGCCATCATGGGTTAAACCAGCAGATGGCATGCAATCACAATGCAAAGCAAGGAAGCATGGGAGAGAAATAAAAAAGGGAAAATAGCTTATTACAAGTACAATTAAAGGAAGTTTTCAAACACAATCAGTGATTCCCAGAAAGGCCAAAGCAGTTTACTTTGGGTGATGGATTTACAAACATTCTATTTTCAACAATAGATCCATTTCCAATTCACAGGAGATAGAACATGTAATAATGATTGTTTCTAAAGTTGTGATAGCTAGCACCCAATAATGCAGGAATATGTGATATTTGTTTTTAGTCATAAATTCTACAGCATCAAAGCTCAACATGTAAGTCTAATTTGGTATAGAATATTCTTTGGAATAGATTAGGTTTCTTTTTTAAATTTGGGATTGCTTTATGTGAATCAGAATTGCTGTGGGTTATGCTTTGGTTGGATTACTGTATGGTGGAGCAAATAGCGTGACCTTGTTATAAATTCTGACAGTCACACGGGAGTGGTCAGGCACATTTTGCCAGCGTTCATTTTTCTCGACTCTCAGTAGAACTTATCCATATGTCTTAAAGACAAACTCTTGTAGCAAGGCAAAGAGATGCGTGACGTCAACTATAAAGTATTCAATTTTAACACAGGGAATGCTGAGATATGAAAAGAAAATAATCACAAATACATCAACACCTGAAATTTAAAAAAGATAATTGAGTAAATCAGCTTAGACATTTGGTTTCAAAATA